GGTATAAGCAAATACTGTTTTTGGTACTGCAATAAAAAGCAAACAGTTCTTGAAATTTCTTTCAAGAGAAATTGACTAGCAATACCTACTACCAGTGGGAACTAAAAAATGGTACCTGTCAGACTACTTTTAGCTTCATTGTTTTTAATTTTCAAAATGAGTTACTTTTTCCTTTCATAAATTTCATAGACAGATAGAGAAAGAGACCAGTAAGTCAAATTTTAAGAGATAAGGAATTCTACTTTTTAGCCCTTGCTTGTAGCTTGCTTACTTTGATTGTACAACACTGTTAAATTCATGCTTATTCTGAAGAAATGTGCAAAATTTTAGTTGAAATTTTTGAATTATTGATCTGAACAAAATACCGATTTTTTAAATTACGGAAACAAGTAGGAGAAATATTTCTTAAATTTCTGTTATCAGAAAGTACTTATATGTAAGCAAAAATAAAAAGACAGTGCTCACTTTTACAAAGTGTATTAAGTTTTGGACACTGGCATTAATACATTAGTGTAAATTGATCGGAGAACAGGCTCTTAGATATTTGTGTTTTGCATTATTTCATTTAGTAAATAAAAATGACAAGAGGTAAAATTAGCAACAAAAAAGTAATCTGTGATTCTCTTAACATGCTTTAACTTACAGAGTAACTTTATTTAACTTTTTTGTTTGTTTGTTTGTTTGAGATGGAGTCTCACTCTGTCACCAGGGCTGGAATGCAGTGGTGCAATCTCTGCTAACTGCAACTTCTGCCTCTTGGGTTCAAGCGATTTTCCTGCCTCAGCCTCCCGAGTAGCTGGGATTACAGGCATGTGCCACCACCACACCCAGCTAATTTTTTGTATTTTAAGTAGAGATGCGGTTTCACCATGTTGACCAGAATGGTCTTGAACTCCTGACCTTGTGATCCGCCCGCCTCGGCCTCCCAAAGTGCTGAGATTACAGGTGTGAGGCATACCTGGCTGATTTTACATTTTTATTTAGTTTTGAAATATCTTCCATTTATATTTTTGATGCTCTCTGAACCGTAGAATGAGCTTTCTAAAATCCAAAACTTTGAGCACTGATGTGACACTCAAAGGAAATGCTCATTAAAGCATTTTGGATTTTTAAATTTGGGATATTCAACTGGAAGTATATAGTGCAGGTTTTTTTTTTTTTTTTTTTTTTTTTTTTTTTTCCAATTCAAAATCTGAAACACTTCTGGTCCTAAGCATTTTGGGTAAGGATACCTAATCTATAGTACCATAAGCGTCATGAGGCCAGAGATCTGTTCACACTTGAGTCAGGTTTATAGCACAGGGCCTGGGTACTTCGTAAATGTCAGCAGCTATTTGTCAGTTGTACATGGAGTATTAATTAGATCTTCTGGCTGATACTTCATAGATAAGTTATGCATAGTTTATGTTCTCATCCTAAATGAATACATTTTCTAATTAAGTGTATTTTACTCTGTAAATATAAAATATTTCTGAGATATAATATGTTGAATTTTAGGGGGGAAAGGGAAGTTGAGGTCAGAAATATGTGCAAGAATATATACCTTGAAGAAGTAATTTCCACTGACATACCAAGTTTAATAACACAAAATCATGGTTTTGAAAATGTGCCTCAAACTGTGTAAGAATTCAGGGCATGTAATATGTGACTGTTAGACAGATTTCATTCTGTTTATAACTTAAGACATTTAAAAATCTGGTCAAATTCTTTTGCTGTATTATTATTAAATACTTGAGACTCTGATTTTAATATGGTAAAGTTTTTACAGTATGTCTTAATACAATTACATAAGGAATTAGTTTACCCAGGATAGTTTATTAATAGCACCTAAGACAACAGCTAAATTGCAACACAAGCAGACTTTAAAAAGAATGCTTCCTAGAATACATTTTAAAAACTGGAGGATTTTTTTCAAGGTTTTTTTTTTCTTAATGTATGTCAGTATTGTAGGGAGGTACTTTGAAAAAATATTTGAGAATGATGACATATCTTATACTTAATAATGCTAGGTTTTCTTAAAGTTGAGCTACACAGGCTGATTGAATCCTTTGCTTCAGTGAAGCTGCAGATAAGAGTAAGCAGGGTCACCTAAAGATAGATTTACTTAGAGGTTTGGCTGCCTCTCTGGAACCATTTAGCTTTGAACAGATTTCCATAAATGGAAAGAGCAACTGGAGAGACCCAGTACCTTGTGGATGATGTGCAACAGGTGGTAAAACAGTCATTGGATTTTTAAAATAAATGCTCTCCAAATGACTTGTTTAAGACTGAGGCTTTAGCATTTAGGGAACTTTGAGACTAACTGGATTTTTCCCCCCAATTAAAAGTTTCCTGGCAACAGTTTTAAAAGATTCATACCGTTAGTGTGTAGTGCTTATGAATTCGTAATATGACTTTATGAAATTTGTATAAACATTTACTTTTAGTTCCTTTAGGGGACATCTTGAAAAAATCTGTCAAGTTAGAGGCTCTTAAATATTCATGTTTCAGAATCTCTTACCAAGTTAACTGTCGAGTGTTTTAAGTCAGGATGTGCAATTAGTATATTTTTAAGATAATAAAATTTGTTCTTGAATTGCTGATTTTCCTGTAAGGTCAGTGGGTTGTCCTGAGAAATACCTGCCCAGTGCGGTGGCTCACGCCTGTAATCTCAGCACTTTGGGAGGCCAAGGCGGGTAGATCACATGAGGTCAGGAGTTTGAGACCAGCCTGGCCAACATGGTGAAACCTGTCTCTACTAAAAATACAAAAATTAGCCAAGCATGTTGGCCTGTGCCTATCGCCCCAACTGCACAAGAGGCTGAGACAGGAGAATCGTTTGAACCTGGGAGTTGCAGGTTGCAGTGAGCTGAGATCATGTCATTGCACTCCACCCCAGGTAACAGAGAGAGACTCCCTCTGAAAACAAAAAAACAACTGTGTGTCTACTCTGAAAAATCTATGTTGGGAACCATGGCATATGTAAAGATGGGTTAAGATAGCCCCCCTCCCCGCCCCAAGACCTCAAGGAGTTTATAATCTTACAGAAACGGTAAGAAATTACCATATTTCTGCTCTATGAAAGAGGAAATTGAAGTATAAGAGAGATTAAGTTACTTACCCCAGGTAACAGAAGTAAGTGGCAGAGATTAGAACCCAAGCTGTTGGACCTGAAAGCCCAAACCACTGCTGTACACATTGTTTTGCAAGTAGCATAATCAGCAAAGCATAAAGGAAGTGCTAGAAGAAAGATACAAAGGGTGGTAGAATTTGAAGGCTTCTTGGGAAGAATAAACTCTTTAAGAAAAAGTCTTATGTTAAAACCCATTGAGGCTCTGAGGAGAGCAAGGTTAATTGTAAAGAAAGTTCCCAAGTACTCTGGCAGTAAATCTAATGTATGTTGTTATCCATCTCTAGGCAGTCCTGCCTGGAGTGTACAGTTGTTCCTCAGCAGACCTGGGGTGTGTTGGTTCCAGGATGCCTCCTCCACCTGGCAGATACTGAAATCCTAAGATGCTCAATCAAGTCCATTATACAAAATGCTGTAGTATTTACATTGTGTTTTTAATTGTTGTATTATTTTTTATTGCCTCCCCTCCCCCACAGTATTTTCAATCTGAGGTTGGTTGAATCTGCTGATGTGGAACTCTTGGATATGGAGGGCTTACTGTACTCAAGTAACTCAAGAGGGTCTCTAAGAACTGAATTAATTGATTAAATTAACCTCGGCATGATTCTGCTAGGTTATGTGAAATTAATATGTTATTAAGGTAATAAAATTCGTTTTATCTTAATGATATATTAATAAATTTTTTTTTGGCTCCCAAAGTGCTGGGATTACAGATGTGAGCCACCGTGCCTGGCCCGTAATTTCTGATTTATATCATTCGTTACTTTATAATCAACATTCATTTTATATCAGTATTTATTTTATAAAATGTAGATAATAGCTTTTTAAAAATTATTTCTGTAAGTAATTTATATAGACTAATGGATATCAATAGCTTAGAGTTACTCATATATTTCTGTAAGTAACGTATATAGACTAATAGATATCAGTGGCTTAGAGTTACCGCTGGCTTTAGTGGCAATGCATCAAAATATATAATTGGCTTCTAGGATTGTTAATCTGCAACCAACCTCTCCCTGCCCCTTCTTCCCTTCTTACAAATTAGTATTGGCCTAAAATTGATGCCCAGTTCAAATTTCAAGGATCTTTCTTTGTTTTCCTTTGAGTAAGATTCAGAAACTTGTCAAATTTCTTTTGTTGTTGTTGTTTTGAGACAGTCTTCTGTCGCCCAGGCAGCAGTACAGTGGTACAATCTCGGCTCACTGCAACCTGTACCTCTTGGGTTCAAGTGATTCTTCAGCCTCAGCCTCCTGAGTAGCTGGGATTACAGGCCTGAGCCACTGTGTCTGGCCAACCTCTTAGTAATTTTTTTTTTTTTTTTTTTTTTTTTGAGAGAGACTCTTGCTGTGTTGCCTGGAGTACAGTGGTGCATTGGTTGGAGTGCAGTGGTGCATTGGCTCACTGCAACCTCTGCCTCCCGGGTTCAAGCAATTCTCCTGTCTCAGTCTCCTAAGTAGCTGGGACTACAGACATGTGCCGCCACACCTGGCTAATTGTTGTATTTTTAGTAGAGACAGAGTTTCACCATGTTGGTCAGGCTGGTCTCAAACTTCTGACCTCATGATGTGCCTGCCTTGGCCTCCCAAAGTGCTGGGACTACAAGTGTGAGCCACTGCCCAGTGTATAATTTCTGATTTACATCATTGGTTACTTTATAATCAATATTCATTTTATATCAGTATTTATTTTATAAAATATAGATACTAGCTTTTTACAAATTATTTCTGTAAGCAATTTATCTAGACTGATGGATGTCAGTGGCTTAGAGTTACTTGTGTTATTTTGTTTTTATTTTTCATTTCTCGTTCAGGAGTGATTATATTTCTTAGTAATATGTTTTAGTTATGCGTTTAGTGTATTTTTAATTGAGTAGAACTTGTTTTTCCTCTAGTGGAAGCATCAGTTCATAGCAGTAATGCACACTGTACAGATAAGACAATTGAAGCTGCTGAAGCCCTGCTTCATATGGAATCTCCTACCTGCTTGAGGGATTCAAGAAGTCCTGGTATGTAAACTTCATTCATGTGTTAAACGTGTCATACTACTTGATATATCTAAAATAGTTTTGTTTTGTTTTTTTTTAATGCAGGGGGATTGTTGGGGATTCTCAAAGATCTATTACAGATGAACATATGGCAGCAGTAACTGAAATTTATTTACTAAGGTCTCCAAGTCTTAAAATACTTAATTATCATAATAAATGATACAGAAAATGTCCACTATACACAGACATTTATTAAATAGCTATTTATACTGTCATGTCTATTTCCTTAACTCTGGGCAAATTACAAGCCTTCATAGTCCTTGAGAGTATGAGAGATGGGAACAGTTGCCTCTTGTGACCACTTTTAATCCTATATTGAGTGATAAATGGGCAGTAACTCCAGAGAACCATACATGGTAGAGAGAGAAGGGAGCTTTTGCCATTTTTTTTCTTTTTTTTTTTTTTTGAGATGGAGTTTCGCTCTTGTTACCCAGGCTGGAGTGCAATGGCACGATCTCGGCTCACCGCAACCTCTGCCTCCTGGGTTCAGGCAATTCTCCTGCCTCAGCCTCCTGAGTAGCTGGGATTATAGGCACTCGCCACTATGCCCAGCTAATTTTTTTTGTATTTTTAGTAGAGACGGGGTTTCACCATGTTGACCAGGTTGGTTTCGATCTCTCGACCTTGTGATCCACCCGCCTCAGCCTCCCAGAGTGCTGGGATTACAGGCTTGAGCCACCGCGCCCGGCGCCATTTTTTTAATCTAACATCCTTCAGATTGTGTTTTTATTTTCTTATGGTCCCTCTTAGTCTTTAAGACCAACTTTGATAGTCATTTTGTACTAATTCTAATTTGTCATAATTTAAATTTAATGCCCAAATGTCAATTTGACTTCATACAGAAAGATTGGCTCACCTCAATGGGATTTATAACAAATGCTAAGAGCAACCATTCTTTTTTTTTTTTTTTAATTTGAGACGGAGTCTTGCTCTGTTGCCCAGCCTAGAGTGCAGTAGTGTGATCTTAGCTCACTGTGACCTCTGCCTCCCAGTTTCAAATGATTCTCCTCTTTAGCCTCCTGAGTAGCTAGGACTACAGGCTAATTTTTTGTATTTTTAGTAGCTATGGGGTTTCACTGAGTTAGCCAGGATAGTCTTGGTCTCCTGACCTTGACTTCCCGCTTCGGCCTCCCAAAGTGCTGGGATTACAGGCATGAATTTAAATAGAATCCAGTGTATTATTTAGAATTAGAAGAAATGTGTAACATTTTTGGTCAGTCTATTAATCTAAGACAGTATGTGTTAACGGTATCTCTTAATTGAAATAGAAATAGCAGAGCTGGGTGTAGTGGCTCGCGCCTGTAATCCCAGCACTTTGGGAGGCAGAGACGGGTGCATCACCTGAAGTCAGGAGTTCTAGACTAGCTTGGCCAACATGGTGAAACCCCATCTCTACTAAAAATACAAAAATTAACAGGGTGTGGTGGCATGTACCTGTAATCCCAGCTGTTTGGGAAGCTGAGGTAGGAGAATCGCTTGAACCCAGGAGGCGGAGGTTGCAGTGAGTGGAGATCGTGCCATTGCACTCCAGCCTGGATGACAGAGGGAGACTCCATCTCAAAACAAAACAAAAAAACAGAAATATAAATATCGTATCTTGGTTATTTGTGCATGTTAGAAGGAAGCCAGAGCAACATTACTGTATGTACTAGAAAACCAGATTACAATCTGTACCTACTGTTTTAGTAACTAAAACATCAGGACTCTTTTAAATACTGAAAGGCAATATTTGTTGTCTGTATGAGCAAGTTTCCCTTTTCATATTCTAAAATGAACTATAGGTGCTTATGTTTTACTGAGTACATACTTATAAATCTTTCAGATTTTGAACCACATGCATGTATTACCTGTTAAAAAATAATGATGGCTATGTGGGTGGAAAGTAATTATTAACTCAGTGTTATACTATTATTTTCAAATGTTTTCCCAACTGTTAGAATAATTTAGAATTTTTCTACAATGAGCTTGAAAGTATCTTTCTTTATGTGTGAAAGAGCTTAGTGACTACTCATGGTCCTTGCCTTACCCAGAGGATTAACGTTTTTCCTTTCAGTTGATTTTCTTTGCATTTATTTTCCCTGTATAGTTTACATCATATTGAATAGTCAGCAAATTAAATTCTTCGTATTAAGCTCTTATCCTGCTTTGATTAATTCTTAATAAACCTCACCTCTTCTAAATATTGAACTGTCCACACAAGAGGCATTGATGGGGGTGGGAAATTTTAATTTTTCAACTTTTTTTTATAGTGGAAGTGTTTGTTCCTCCTTGTGTATCAACTCCAGAATTTATCCATGCTGCTATGAGGCCAGATGTCATTACAGAAACTGTAGTGGAGGTGTCAACTGAAGAGTCTGAACCAATGGATACCTCTCCTATTCCTACATCACCAGATAGCCATGAACCAATGAAAAAGAAAAAAGGTAGGGTATATTTATACATTTCTGAGAAGGCAGGTGAAATTGTTTTCTGCTATCTTTCCTCATCAAGGGACATAGAAAATAGTATATACCAGGCGTCCCCAAACGTTTTACACAGGTGGCCAGTTCACTGTCCCTCAGACCGTTGGAGGGCCACCACATACTGTGCTCCTGTCACTGACCACCAATGAAAGAGGTGCCCCTTCCTGAAGTACGGCGGGGGGGCCGGAAAAATGGCCTTAGGGGGCCGCATGCGGCCCGCGGGCCATAGTTTGGGGACGCCTGGTATATACTGTAGATTTAAGATTGATGTTATCTTAACCAGATAGTCTCAAAGAATCAACATTGAGATTTTAATGTAGTATTTTAACGTACTCATACTATTTAAAGGAGTTAATATGTAAGGCTTGAAGATAGTTGCCTGACAATGATATTTTAACAGGTGTTAGACACACAGAAGGCAGATAGAGAGATTCCCTGTATGTTGTCTTACTTTATCTTCTCCTTGTCGATCCTTTTATGGGTACTTAGTTACTATTTAAAAAAAATTTTTTTTATTCTTTATTTTACAAAGTCTTAATTTCTGCTTTCATGGATATTTTTTTAAAAGCCAGGAACATCTGTAGTCCTAGCTGCTCAGGAGGTCAGAGGATTGCTTGAGCCCAGGAGTTTGAGGCCATTCTGAGCAACATAGCAAGACCCTATCTCAAAAAACCCAAATAAACAGTGATATATATGTAGATGTCATACTATATATTATATAAAATATACAGTATGACATGTATATTCTATATATTTTTATATATTATATATAAACTGATATATATGTCATATTCTATATTTTATAAAATAATATAAAATATGTCATACTATATATTATATATATTATTTTAAATTATAAAATTATACATATTATTTTTAATATAAAATATATAGAATGACATATATTTTACGTAATTTTTTTTTTGCTTTGAAACACTAAGATTGCCAGTAATACATATCAGCAGTCTTAGTGTTTCAAAGCAAAAGGTATGAGGTAAAAATAGTGCGATATATAAAATTATATTATATATAGATACAGACTTCTAATTGGCATAAACTCGCCAGTGGGTAAAGAGCATTTCCACTTATTATTTGACTCCTGCTGAAATTTCTGGTTCCTTTTCTGGACCCTTTCTGGGTCCTTTTCTGTTCAAATCAAAGGTAACATTGGAAAGAAATAAATTGCTAATTCTTTTAGAAATGAAATGATTTAGAAATGAAATCTAATTCTTCTCTAACTGTTCCATTTTAGAGTAAAATAAAGTCAAAAGTGTGTTTGAAATAATGGTATTTTCTCTTACTCATTAAATACAGTGTTTCATATTGCCACATTGTGTACCATTCTGTGATCGTTGTTGTAAGGGAGTTGAGAATAAGACAGTGATTTCACACATGTATATATGTATCTCGAGAGAGAGGTATAAATATGAGAGTTTAGGAGGAAGAATTACTTTCTGATGTAAACATTTAAAAACAAAAGGCATACATATAAATAGCCTTATTTACCCACTGTGTGCTGTAGTACTTAGCTGGTTGCATCCAGTGGGAGCTGTCACAAAATATGTGTTTATTTAGATTTAAGGCTGAGCACAATGGCTCTCACCTGTAATCCCAGCACTTTGGGAGGCTGAGGCACGCAGATCACTTGAGGTCAGGAGTTCAAGACCAGCCTGGTGAAATCCTGTCTCTACCGCAAATACAAAAATTAGCTGGCTGTGGTGTTGCATGCCTGTAGTCCCAGCTTCTCAGAGGCTGAGGCAAGAGAATTGCTTGAATCCGGGAGGTAGAGGCTGTAGTGAGCCGAGATCCTACCACTGCACTCCAGCCTGGGTGACAGAGTGAGACTCAGTCTCAAGAAAAAAATAAAAAAAGATTTAAAAGGAGATGAAGGCTGGGCGTGGTGGCTCAAGCCTATAATTCCAGCACTTTGGGAGGTCAAGGCAGGCACATCACCTGAGGTAGGGAGTTCGAGACCAGCCTGACCAACATGGAGAAACCCTGTCTCTACTTAAAAATACAAAATTAACTGGGCATAGTGGCATATGCGTGTAAGCTCAACTACTTAGGAGGCTGAGGCAGAATTGCTTGAACCCGGGAGGCAGAGGTTTTGGTGAGCCAAGATTGTGCCATTGCACTCCGGCCTGGGCAACAAGAGTGAAACTCCGTCTCAAAAACTAAATAAATAAATAAAAGAAGATGGAAAAGATCATGAAAAGCAGGGGTCATATATGAAACCAGGATATGACATGATATAAATGAGGAAATACTTTGCCAATTTAATACTAATTTTGTTTATTTCTGTGAAAGCTCTTAATGACCATTTAAAAATTACAAGGCAGGGTGTGCTGGCTCACGCTTGTAACTCCAGCACTTTGGGAGGCTGAGGCAGGATGATCGCTTGAGCTCAGGAGTTCAAGACCAGCCTGGGAAACATAGTGAGACCTCATCTGGAGGAATAAAAACAATTAGCCAAGTATGGCGGCATACACCTGTAGTCCTGGCTACTCAGGAGGCTAAGGCAGGATGATCGATTAAACCCTGGGAGGCTACAGTGAGCCGTAATTGTGGTACTGCATTCCAGCCTGGGTGACAGAGTGAGACCCTGTGCCAAAGGAAAAAAAAAATACGTTTAACCGTTCTGTCTGTGCTTACTACCATAAGGGAGAGAGTGTAAAATAAGAGTATCATTATTTATATTTTTGTGGTTAAGAACATTTGGGATATACAAATTTAGGTTATTTTTTAATATCAACCCCTCTTTTTATTTTGAGAGCTTTTAGTATACTAATATGCATTGTGGATCCTGCTATCTTCCAAGAGAAGATAGCATATGATGTTCTAAAGGTTAATGTGACTATAGAACTCATTTTTCTACAGAAGAAATTTATCAAGGAACATAATTTTGGACGTGCTGCTTTATGAGAAAGTAAATTAAGCCTTTTTGCACTAAGTTTTCTACTAAGCTGGGCTTTTGTGTTAGAATTTAGGAGATGCTGAAGGTGTTAGTTTTATTACTTTCTGATTCATACATATAAATATTATTTAGATTGAATAATTAAGCTGTATTCTAACAGAGACCAGCGAACTTTCTGTTTTAAATTTTTGTTAAAACAGACTTCTGGATTAGAATTGCCAGAATTAGCTGGGCACAGTGGCTCACATCTGTAATCCAGCACTTTGGAAGGCTGAGGTGGACTGATCACTTGAGGTCAGGAGTTTGAGACCAGCCTGACCAACATGGAGAAACCCCATCTCTACTAATAATACAAAATTAGCCGGGCATGGTGGTACATGCCTGTAATCCCAGCTATACTCAGTAGGTTGAGGCAGGAGAATCTCTTGAACCCAGAAGGCGGAGGTTGCCGTGAGCCAAGATTGTGCCATTGCACTCCAGCCTGGGCAACAAGAGCGAAACTCTGTCTCCCAAAAAAAAAAAAAAAAAAAAAAAAAAGAAATACTAGAATTAAATACTAAAATATATGCATTTTGAAATACAAATGTTAAGATGCTTTAATTAGCTCTTTAATTAATCTAACTAATGCTTCCTAATGAAGAATAGAGTGACATCAGAAGTCTCAGATGTGGAACAATCACCAAATCAGTAATAGTATATTTGATCTTAAAATACGGCCAAGTGCCATGGCTTATGTCTTTAATCCCAGCACTTTGGGAGGCCAAGGCAGGCAGATTGCCTGAGCTCAGGAGTTCAAGGCCAGCCTGGGCAACATGGTAAAAACCCATCTCTACAGAAAATAGAAAAGTTAGCCAGGCATGGTGGTGTATACCTGTAGTCCCAGCTACTTGAGGGGCAGAGGCAGTAGCATTGCTTGAGCCCCGGAGGTGGAGACTATAGTGAGCCGTGTTTGTGCCACTGCACTCCTCCAGTCTGGGTGACTTAAAAAGTATAGGCCAGGCACAGTGGCTCAGGCCTGTAATCCCGGCACTTTGAGAGGCCAAGGCGGGTGGATCATGAGGTCAAGAGATCGAGACCATCTGGCCAACACAGTGAAACCCCATCTCTACTAAAAATACAAAAATTAGCTGGGCATGGTGGCTTGTGCCTGTAGTCCCAGCTACTTGGGAGGTAGAGGCAGGAGAATTGCTTGAACCTGGGAGGTGGAGGTTGTGGGGAGCCAAGATCACACTATTGCACTACTGGCAGATAGAGATTCCATGTTAAAAAAAAAAGGGGTGTGTGTGTGTGTGTGTGTATTTGATCTTAAAATTCAACATAAATATTCCCAATTTATTTCTTGAGGCTGCCTCTCACCTGCCAGTGTTCATCCATCTGTGCTGAGGATCCAGTATAACTCATTTCAGGCTTAATCCTCTTTAGCGTAGAAAAGTATATAGCCCTTTTTTTTTTTGTATTCCTTGTGGATGCTGGTCTGTCTGAGGGAGGCTTATGGCAAAAATGAGGAGGAACAAAAGCGAAGGGCACAAACATTTATTAGACATATAAAATAATCACTTAGAAGTTTTTTACCCTTGTAACGTATTTGTGGAAGTGGGGAAATTGAAACACCTATGCTTAAATTCTGGTGCATTAACTTATACAGAGCAGTTGAGAGTGATATTTTTTACTTTTCCTCATTTGAGTTCAAAGGGCTTCGCAGATTATCAGATCTTCTACAATAAATTGCTAAAGCTGTTTGTAACAATCCTGTAGAACAGAAAAATAAGTTCTCACTAGAATTTGTTTCTATTGCTACATTAACATAAAAGATTAGCAAATCAAGGCTCTGACCAATGTATATGGCAATCAAGGCTCTGCCAATGTATATGACAGTGATTACTGCTAACTGCTATAATCCAAAATACAGAATTGTTTTAAATACTCCTTTTAGAAGCAGCTTTTCATACACAGAGTATATTCATCTACAAATTAGTGTCCATTTAAATGAATAATGTGTAATCAGAAAGTCTGCTAATCATGCCTCTCGTATTTTTCTTGTTTTCAACGTATGGTTTCAATATCTTATTTTTTCAGTTGGCCGTAAACCAAAGACCCAGCAATCACCAATTTCCAATGGGTCTCCTGAGTTAGGTATAAAGAAGAAACCGAGAGAAGGAAAAGGTAATTCGGGGAGGGTTGCTTTGGAAGTGAAATGATTTTTTTTTTTTCAGTTAGGTGACATTTTTACATTTGTAAGAAAATTATTTCTAGTACATGCACATAGGAGAACGCTGTCATAGGTAATAGTTCTTACTAAGGGATGTATCAGTATCACATGGGGAACTTTTTCAAAATACCTATGCCCAGTTCCTACCCCACAGAGATTCTGTAGCCATAGTAGTATCATGGGGGATATAGGAACTTTTAGAAAAAGTCCTAAGGATGTCTGATAGATATCCTCCTTAAGAACCATTGACTCGGCCGGGCATGGTGGCTCACGCCTGTAATCCAAGCACTTTGGAGGCCAAGGTGGGCGGATCACCTGAGGTCGGGAGTTCAAGACCAGCCTCACCAACATGGTGAAACCCCGTCTTTAAAAAAATAAATAAAATAAAAGAACCATTGACTTAGGGGATGTATGTATGTACAGTAGCACTCATCCTTAATTATAGCCACCTATAATTTAAAAGAGTTTGCAATTAAGCCTTGTTTCTAATAGGTAATTTCTTTCTTTATTATTTTTTTGAGAGAGAATCTTGCTCTGTCTGGTGCCCAGGCTGGGTTGTGGTGGTGTGATCATGGCTTACTGTAGCCTTGACCTCCTGGGTTTAAGCTATCTTCCCACCTCAGCCTTCTGAGTTGCTAGGACCACAGGCACATGCCACCACATCTGGTAATTTTTTTTTATTATTTAATTTTTTTTGTAGAAATGAGGTCTCACTGTGTCACCTAGGCAGGTCTGTAAACTCCTAAGCTCAAGTGATCCTTCTGCCTCCACCTCTGAAAGTGCTGGGACTACCAACGTGAGCCACTGCACCCAGTCTGATACATAATTTCTTAACTGTTTAGAAACAATGCAAAAATTGAAGACGAGCTAAATTTAATTTTCCAGTTAACAAATTTCAGTCACGTCAGTCACAATTCAGAATAAAACTATGGTTTTGCTTATTTACTTGTTTTTACAGACAGGGCTGGAGTGCAGTGGTATGACTGTAGCTCACTACAGCCTTGTACTACTTCAGTTATAGCCTGCCAAGTAGCTGGGACTACATGCACACACCCCACTACCTCCAGCTAATTTTTTTTTTAAGAGATGAAGTCTCATGCTTTGTTGCCCAGGCAGGTCTCAAACTCCTGGCTTCAAGAGATCTTCTCGCCTCACACTCCCAAAGTGCTGAGATTACAAGCATGAACCACTGTCCCTTGCCTATTTTTGTTTTAGAATTTGTATGTCCTCATTAAAAATAAAAATAGTGCCAAACCTCCCCCATTCTGTGCTTTCTTAATTTGTTGAGTAAGATGATTTCAAGTAATATTTCTTTTTAAAATTATTTTTATTACTTTCTTGTTATTCTTTTTTTTTTTTTCTTTTAGAAGAAAGGTTGAGGGTTTTTTTTATTTTTTAAAATATTTTAAAATCTTTTGTAGAAACAGGTTGTCCCTGTTTTGCCCAGGCTGGTCCCAAACTCCTGGCCTTAAGCAGTCCTCCCACCTCGGCCTCCCAAAGTGTTGGGATTATAGGCATGAGCCACTGCACCTGGCCTTTAATTTTCTTTTCACTCAGATTCTGACAGATAAAGTACCGTTTCAGTAGTGGTTTTAGATGTGTTCTGTCTGTTAATCTGATAACCAAAAATTTATTACTTCCATGAGTAAGTGTTTTCAGACCAGTAGTCAATAGTTGGATAAATTTTGCATTAATACATTTAAATCTATTCTGTTCTTATCAGGTGGTTTGACTTAATAATTTTAAATAATTAAAACAGAAGTTAAGTCTAGTTTAAAAAAAAAAAATTGTCCCCAGTAAGCCTACCAAGAAATTTGGTATTTAGTTAGACAAAAAAAAAAAAAAGTTACACTGAACACTTATTCAAGAACTGGTGACCCAATTTGGGAGAGGCTAAGGATACTTTTCTTATTTCCTTGTTTGTCTTGGTTGTTTTACACTTCTAACATCTTAGGTTTTACCTTTTAATTTATATTGAAGACTTTAAAAGTTAACATAGTAGCAGTAAACATTAGAAAACTAAACTGTAAATATACAGTTATTACTCTTGTCTTTTAAATAATTCTTTTCCTCAGTGGTATCTCTTATACCCAGATCTTGTGCTTAACACTGGAGAAAAACTTTGTGACCAATTTTTACCAGTTAAAACCACATCTCATTACCATTTCAGTCTTGTAATAAATTTGAGGCAGTAGTGTTATAATGTAATACAATAACTAAAGCTGTAACTGTCAAACCTGTATTCAAAATCCAGCCAGTGTTTTTTTCTTCTGCAAAATTATGATAATAATGTTTGTCATAGGCAAATTCCTTATTACCTGGTCAGGAAAGCTTCTCTTTCTGAATCCTCCTATTTTCTTTAAAACCAGATACAGAATTTTTAATTAAAAAAAATTTTTTTTTTTTTTTTAGAGACAGGGTGTCACTGTGTCACCCAGGCTGGAATACAGTGACATGATCACAACTCACTGCAGCCTCAACCTTCCAGGCTAAAGTATTCTCCTGTTTCAGCCTTCTAAGTAGCTGGGACCACAGGCACACACAACCATGCCTGGCCAATTTTTCAATTTTTTTGTAGAGATGGGTCTCCCTATGTTGCCTAGGCTTTTCTTGTATTCCTAGGCCCAAGTGATCCTCCAACCTTGGCCTCCTTAGAATTGTTCATTTTAACTTGGGGATGAAAACATGGGTGCATTGAGTATTTAAAGATAATCTGAGGGGTGTTGATGAGTCTAATAATTAATTCAAAACATGGAAACATTTAGATATCTTATGTACAAGGCACTGTCTATGTTATATAAAAATTTCTTCTAGAATAAGATCTTTGCTTACCTTTACTACTACTATGTGAACAAAGTAAAAATGCCGCAGCTACACATTTTGATGTGATTATACATGGTTTGTTTTAACAGTTTTTAGGTAGTGATACTGGTGTAATAAATAGGGTCCCAGAGATACAAATGTAACATTGTGAAGTTGAAAGTCAGCTTTTTCAGGTTAGTAGATGCATAATGGGCTCAACTTTAGGTTAGTAGATACATAATGGGCTCAACTCTGCATTATTAATGAATTTACTGAATTTTCAGGGAAAGGCACAATTAAAGTGAACATGCCAGAGAAAAAGTGTCAGTATTTTGATTGAAGGTGTTGGGGTAGCTATAGCTTGTTTTGGAAGCTTCCCAACATAACCTGTATCTTAGATCTGGGTTTAAGTATAGTAAATGAATAGTACATGGGATCCAACAGATGATCTCCCTTTTTCTTCTCAGGACTCTTTTCTGTTCTTTTTGTTTGAGATGGAATCTCACTCTGTTACCCAGGCTCAAGTGCAGTGACACGATCTCACTGCAACCTCCGCCTCCCAGGTTCAAGCGATTCTCCCACCTCTGCCTCCCGAGTAGCTGGGATTACAGGCACCTGCCATCATGCCTGGCTAATTTTTGTATTTTTGTAGAGATGTGCTTTCACCATATTGACCAGGCTGGTCATGGACTCCTGATCTCAGGTGATCTGGTTACTTCAGCTTTCCAAAGGGCTGGGATTACAGGTGTGAGCCACTGCGCCCGGCCTTCTGTTCTTCTGTCAATAAGAACCTTGGCATCTAGAGGTTATGAAGGGAATAAAGTAAAAGCAACCTGAAAAGCCTCTTCTTCTCATGACCACTGCCCGCTACTCTTCCCTCCTTAATAAGGGGAGAAAAGGTGTGATACTTTCTTTTTTGGGGGATTAAGTTTTTTATTTTACTTGCCCAGATTCCTTTTTGTTCTTTTATGCAAATCCTAGCCATCTTCTAAGACTTCATGATGTCCTACTAGTCCACTTTATTATCACTCCTGGAATCCTATAGACATTATTTTCTATGATTATTTGGGATACAATTAATTATGCATTGCTTTGTAATAGACCTTATATTGTTTCAAATTGTGATTTATTTCTTGTATTGTTGTTTAACTTGTCATCTGCTTTCTTTGATCTTCTCAACTAAATTATAAATTCCTTGAGGCAGGAACCAGCTTTTAAATTCATCTCTATATTCTTAAGCATAGTATGTGATGAATAAGCATTTTCTTCTGCAGAAATATTCTAATATTTCCTCATTTAAAAACTTTACTAGTAGTGTGATCCAGAGCTGATGTTATAGTTAACATATGATGAATACTTGACTAGTTCTAAGGAATTACCATATTTTTCCATTTTAGGACCTCATATTTTAAGACTGATGTACAATGTCTTAAAAACTTAAGTTATATATATAAGTATATGTAATGAAATCCTTTGAATATATTACTTATCTTCAGTCTGCTGGGTATACTCAGTAGAAAATGATTAGAAATTTTAAAAAAAATCTGTTTTTAGAGGCAGTAATGTTCTCCCCCTCCCCCCCGCCCCCGAGATAGTGTCTCACTCTCCTGCCCAGGCTGGAGTACAGTGGTACAATCTCGGCTCACTGTAACCTCCACATCTCAGGTTCAAGTGATTCTTGTGCCTCAGCCTCCCAAGTAACTGGGATTACAGGTGCGTACCACCATGTCCAGCTAATTTTTGTATTTTTAGTAGAGACGGGATTTTACCATGTTGGCCAGGCTGGTCTCAACTCTTGACCTCAGGTGATCCACCCACCTCACCCTCCCAAAGTGCTAGGATTACAGGCCTGAGCCTTGATAACAAGTCTTAATTGACTGCAATGATATGAAAATGCTTAAGGGGTTGAGGGTAGTTTGTACTTACAGTACATATACCTCAGAGTTCATGCCTATAGGTGAATCAGAGAAAAGTAAGTTTCTTAAAAAAAGATCTAGGCCTGATGCCTAAAAGTTTTGCACATTTAATTGCATTTTGCAAGTACCTTTTGATGAATTTGGATCATGGAAATTAGGTTGATCATATGATAAAGGTGTAAATAAATGTATTTTTTTCAGAGTTTAAATCCATACGAACTAATAAATTTGATTATATTTAATTCAGCTTAATTTTACCTAAACAATTTGCCTTTGCCTTTACTGAACTCAAAATCTAGGATAGGGTAATATGTAATAGTACAAAATCCAGGAACCTGTATTTTAGCATCATAACTGTAAGCATACACAGGGGATACCATTTTAAAAAAATAGAAACAGGCCAGACGTGGTGGATCATGCCTGTAATTCCAGCGCTTTGGAAGGACAAGACAGTCAGATCACGAGATCAGGAGTTCGAGACCAGCCTGGCTAACATAGTGAAACACCGTCTCTACTAAAAATACAAAAATTATTTGGGTGTGGTAGCAGGCATGTGCCTGTAATCCCAGCTACTCAGAAGGCCGAGGAAGGAGAAGTGCTTGAACCCAGAAGGCGGAGGTTGCAGTGAGCCAAGATCATGCCACTGCACTCCAGCCTAGGCAACAGGGCAAGACTTTGTCTCAAAAAAAAAAAAAAAAAAGGTGGAAACAAATATATTCAGCATTTTTATGTTACAATGAAGCACACTTTATTTACTTTTAATTATGTATTTAATTATGTTAATGAATTTTTAAAAAATGTCTATCTTTGTTTTTAAAGGAAACACAACCTATTTGTGGGAGTTTCTTTTAGATCTACTTCAAGATAAAAATACTTGTCCCCGGTATATTAAATGGACTCAGAGAGAAAAAGGCATATTCAAGCTGGTGGATTCGAAGGCTGTCTCTAAGCTTTGGGGAAAGCATAAGAACAAACCGGACATGAACTATGAAACCATGGGACGAGCTTTGAGGTAAAAATGCAGATGAGTTAGTATTCAAACAAAACGTGTATTATCTGTTAGCTGTTTAAAATCCTTTACAAAATCCTTTACAACTTTTAACCTTGGTGGATATTCTAGAGGAACTTCGTAGATTTGGAAGTAGGTGGGGAGAGAGGAGTTTGGGCTAGATTCTTATAATTTTAACATCATTGGAAAATTCATTTTTGCAGGAAATGTGCTTTTGCTCTTAGGACTGTTTCTTAATAGAAATTGCGAAGTTGTAGGCTTAAAAAAAAAATTAAACCTAAACAAGTTGCAGTTCCTAAAGTTAATTGGTTTTTTAGCTTTTAGGAGTTTGTTATAAATGGATTTATCTTGACACAAAAATTTATCTTAAGTTTTATCAGTTTGGCTGGGCGTGGTGGCTCACAGCTGTAATCCCAGAACTTCCGAAGGCTGTGGCGGGTAGATCACTTGAGGTCAGGAGTTTGAAACCAGCCTGGCCAACATGGTGAAACCCTGTGTCTACTAAAAATACAAAAGTTAGCCTGGCATGGTGGTGCTCGCCTGTAATCCCAGCTACTTGAGAGGCTGAGGTGAGAGAACTGCTTGAACCTAGGAAGCAGAGGTTGCAGTAAGCCAAGATTGTGCCATTGCACTCCAGCCTGGGCGACAGAGACTACCCCCCACCCCCCCAAAAAAAATGATCAGTTTGAGAAACCCACAAAATTCTTTCATTCTAAAGTATATGGCTTCTTCTAATTAAGGATGTTTTTAAGTGAACATGTGGCTTATGTGACAATATTTGCCTATCTCTACTAAGTAAGTGTGGCTTAGGTAATTTTTCTAGTAACATCATTTTGTTTTTACAACCTATGTAAATCAGAAAAGAATTTACACCAGCGTCAGTATAGTAAAATATTCTATGGTAAGATAAATTATTTCCTTTAAGAAAAAGAAGGAACTTTCAGCTACTTTATATATCTTAAGTTTGTAGGACCTTGACACTGGGTTCTAACTTCATTCCTACTCTAAATTTGTAACCTTTTGAGCAGTCCAGGCAATAAGAGCTTCTTTTTTTCCTCATCTGTTATTAGAGATAAGGGAATGTTTCTGTTAGTATCTACTGTACATGGTCTTTTTGCTGGGGGTGGAGTGGGGTGGAGAGGTAATATACCTGATTCATTTAGTACATTTTCACCTTACAGATACTACTACCAAAGGGGAATTCTTGCAAAGGTTGAAGGACAGAGGCTTGTATATCAGTTCAAGGATATGCCCAAAAACATAGTGGTCATAGATGATGACAAAAGTGAAACCTGTAATGAAGATTTAGCAGGAGCTACTGATGAAAAGTCATTAGAACGAGTGTCACTGTCTGCAGAAAGTCTCCTGAAAGCAGCATCCTCTGTTCGTGGTGGAAAAAATTCATCCTCTATAAACTGCTCCAGAGCAGAGAAGGGTGTAGCCAGAGTTGTGAATATCACTTCCTCTGGTCACGATGCTTCATCCAGGTCTCCTACTACCACTGCATCTGTATCAGCAACAGCAGCTCCAAGGTAAGTGAGGCAAACCATTAGTTGTAATGTATTTACTTTTTTTGTTGTTTGTTTTTGAGACGGAGTCTTGTTCTGTCACCCAGGCTGGAGTGCAATGACTTTTTAAATAATCTCCTTGGTGAAAATGAAATGTCTCTTTGCTTAATATTAGTGTTCTAAGAACACAGTGTTGTCAAGACTTTGAACAAAGTGCTTGATATTTTTATTATCTTTTCATTGTTGTTAAAGTAGACGTCTTGCTGGGTGCATTGGCTCACACCTATAATCCTAGCACTTTGGGAGGCCAAGGCAAGAGGATTGCTTGAGAACAGGAGGTCAACACAAGCTTTGACAATATAGTGAGACCTCCTCTCTACTAAAAATAAAAAAATTGCTGAGCATGGTGGCACATACCTGTAGTCTTAACTACTTGGGAAACTAAAGCAGGAGAATCACTTGAACTTAGGAGTCGGAGGTTGTAGTGAGTTAAGATTGCACACTGCACTCCAGCCCAAGTGACAGACTGAGACCCTATCTCAGAAAAAACCAAACAAAACCAAAAAACAAAAAACAAAGCAGCAGATGTCTTAAATAACCTGAATTGGTTTTATGTTTGTAGGTTTATGGTTTTATAGATGGGGCTTAATGTAGGCTTTAGTTTTCATATTCTAGACAGGGATTGCCAGTATCTCTGAAAAATTTGGGAGCACTAGTTTTATACATTTTGGATTTGCATTCATCTTTTACTCAGGAGACCTATTTTGTCATTTGGCAATAATCAGCATTTTTTTTTCTAATGTACTAGGACAGTTCGTGTGGCAATGCAAGTACCTGTTGTAATGACATCATTGGGTCAGAAAATTTCAACTGTGGCAGTTCAGTCAGTTAATGCAGGTGCACCGTTAATAACCAGCACTAGTCCAACAACAGCAACCTCTCCAAAGGTAGTCATTCAGACAATCCCTACTGTGATGCCAGCTTCTACTGAAAATGGAGACAAAATCACCATGCAGCCTGCCAAAATTATTACCATCCCAGCTACACAGCTTGCACAGTGTCAACTGCAGACAAAGTCAAATCTAACTGGATCAGGAAGCATTAACATTGTTGGAACCCCATTGGCTGTGAGAGCACTTACCCCTGTTTCAATAGCCCATGGTACACCTGTAATGAGACTGTCAATGCCTACTCAGCAGGCATCTGGCCAGACTCCTCCTCGAGTTATCAGTGCAGTCATAAAGGGGCCAGAGGTTAAATCAGAAGCAGTGGCAAAAAAGCAAGAACATGATGTGAAAACTTTGCAGCTGGTGGAAGAAAAACCGGCAGATGGAAATAAGACAGTGACCCACGTAGTTGTTGTCAGTGCGCCTTCAGCTATTGCCCTTCCCGTAACTATGAAAACAGAAGGACTAGTGACATGTGAGAAATAAAATCGAAGGACTAGTGACATGTGAGAAATAAAATCGCAGCTCCACCGTGGACTTCAGGCTGTTAGTGGCAGTACTGATGTAAACATTTGCAAGGGAAGTCACCAAGAAAAGTCAAAGAAGACTTTAAAACATTTTTAATGCATATATGAAAACAATCAGACTTACTGGAAATAAATTACCTATCCCATGTTTCAGTGGGAAGTGAACTACATATTGAGATGCTGACAGAAAACTGCCTCTTACAGTAGGAAACAACTGAACCCGTCAATAAGAAAGGATTGAAAGGGACCAACCAACTCACTACGATATCAAGTTACACTAAGACTTGGAACACTAACATTCTGTAAGAGGTTATATAGTTTTCGGTGGGGAGGGGTTGGGATGGGTGATCTCATTGTTACATATAGCAATTTTTGATGCATTTCATATGCATACCAGCAATTATTACTGTGTTCGCACAGTTCTCACTTAACTGGTGCTATGTGAAGACTCTGCTAATATAGGTATTTTAGAATGTGAATTGAAGAATGGATCCAAAAACTTCAGAAAGAGGATAGCAAAAAAAGATCTAGTGCGATTTATATATATATATATATATATATATATATATATATATATATATATATACACACACACACACATATATATATATATATATCATATAGCTTAAGCTGATTTAAAACAAAGGCCTTAGACTAATTTTTTGGTTTTCTTTCTTGAAATAAGCTAATGGCTTGTTTGTGTAAAGCTTTTTTATTAAAAGAAAAATTTTAAAAATCTTGTACCTAGCACAGTATTGTTATAGAATTTACATGTAACATTTTATATGGTAGTTTAAGTCTGTCAGTTTCTTAATTGTGGACAAATTAACAGTTGGCTCTGGCCTTTTGCTATAACATGCCTGTGTCACTTGCTTAGCCCTGGCATTTGTGCAGACATCATTTTCAGTTCTGCTGTCACTTGGAAGTTCAGGCTCAGCATGAATTTTTGTCAGGTAGCTGTAATACCTGGAGTTTTCTTTGTTTCTTTTTCTTTTTCTTTTTCTTTTTTTTTTTTTTTTTTTCAGTTGAAGTTTATGAGGGAAAGTACCAGTGTTCAGATTTGAACTATAATAGTTTGTATATTCAACATTTGAAGTATATTCTATTTTGTTGTACTCTTGTTTCAAAGTGTATTCAAGTAGGTTTTCTGAAATATAGAAATGAAATTTATCTTCTGTTTTGGTTTCTGTTGATATTTTTAACAATATTTAAAAGCCAGTATAGAAGTGTTTTAGTTAAGAAGTGATAAACATCCCTATTTCTCCTTCCCAACTACTGCATGCAGAAATTCTACTTACGTTTTGTTCCATTATATTAATATTCGGCCAATAACTGGATGTTGCCAGTTTCTTTCTAATTATGATGATGAACTATAATGTTCTGCTTAACATAATGAATTTCGTATTTTAGTTGGCTGCACTTAAAGAATTTATATTTATAAAACACTTCAAATCAGACCATTTGTTTCACAATCAGACCTTTTGTGGGTAAAAAAAACAATTACTCTTCTAGCCCTTTTACACATTAGGAAATTAAGGTATCTGAAGGATTACATGAACTATGTAATTTCACTACTAACACTCCATATCTTAATGCTCTTTCTACAACAAAGAAAAGTCGTCTATTTTTACATCTTTTAGAAATTTAGATGAACTCATACTTAACATTTTTTATCCTTTGTGCATTTGATCACATACTGTTTAGGTCAGAGACTGTTTATAGCAATTCCCTTTGTAATATTTTAAACTTTTCCATAACTGTGTTGGTGATACTTTTAAACAAAAGCTGAAAGAAAAACTCACTTGATTCCTTGCCCATTTGGGAGTTACTCTCAAATTCGACCTCTGTTTAAAACATTTTCAAAATATTTCAGGTTTGAAAATTGATATTATGTGCTTTGGCACTTAATTGTATTATCTTGTTTATTGCACTGTGACTTCATTTGTTTAGTCATGTCTTCCATAATACTCATTTTGAGCAGTGATTATATTTTATGCCATACCTACTCCTCTCTCCAAGTGCTGAACATATTAGACACTTGGGTCAGACATTTATTGATTTGGGGAACATTTGCTGAGAATCTAAGTCACCTTGCTTAAAGACTTACTATGCTGGATTCTTAATTGGTTCTAACAGGGCTAAACCAGGACTGCCTAGCTTACCCCTGCCACTCTACTGGAAGTTTTTGTGTTTCTTTGAGAATAAATACATCTAAAGTCTAGACTTGGGGCCAGGCCTGGTGGCTCATGCCTGTAATCCCAGCACTTTGGGATGTGGTTGCATCGCTTGAGGCCAGGAGTTCAAGACCAGCCTGGCCAACATGGTGAAACCCTGTCTCTACTAAAAATACAAAAATTAGCCAGAGTGGTGGTGCACGTATGTAATCTCAGCTCCTCAAGAGGCTAAAGCACAAGAATCTCTTGAACCTGGGAGGTGGAGGTTGCAGTGAGCCAAGAGGATGATGCCACCGCACTACAGCCTGGGTGACAGCGAGATTCTGTCTCAAAAGTAAAAAAAGTCTAAACTTGGAAACATACAGGTTAACAGTGTATACTGATCAGAATGTTGCAGATTGAAATTATCAGTCATACTGACTCGCTCCGATCCTGCCTGCCTGGGCTTTTATTTTTATTTTTTTTATTTTTTTGAGACGGAGTTTTGCTCTTCTTACCCAGTCTGGAGTGCAATGGCACGATCTCGGCTCACCTGCAACCTCCGCCTCCTGAGTTCAGGCAATTCTCCTGCCTCAGCCTCCTGAGTAGCTGGGATTACAGGCATGCGCCACCACGCCCAGCTAGTCTTTTGTATTTTTAGTAGAGACGGGGTTTCACCATGTTGACCAGGATGGTCTCCATCTCTCAACCTCGTGATCCACCCGCCTCAGCCTCCCAAAGTGCTGGGATTACAGGCTTGAGCCACCGCGCCCGGCTCTGCCTGGGCTTTTAATCTCAGCCCTTCTAAATTATAAATCAAGATAATTTATTGCTTTTTTGTGTGCAGTGTATTAGAGATTAAAAAAGCCCCACATAACCATGGATTTATGCCACTACATTTTCCAGCCTCACCAGATCTTTAAATTATGACCAGTAGTCTTACCAATTTATTCTTTAGGCCACTTTACAGCAATAATTCCAGCCTTCACCACCCTTCTCACCAAAAAACCAGTATAGAGAGAACATGGTCATGAGCTGTGAATTCCCTCCGTTCCTGGACCCCTTGCTACAGAGGATTTACTTATTCTAGCATCCATCCTTACCACCTGTCTCAGGAAGGCAGTGCCCTTCCTCCTGTTATCAGCATCTCCCTTTCACACATACTTGGTTTCCTTGTTCCAACAATTAATAGCCTATCATTCTCTCTCTCTCTCTCTATCTCTGTCTCTCTCTTTCTTTCTTTCTTTTTTTTTAAAGACTGAGTCTTGCTCTGTTACCAGGCTGGAGTACAGTGGTGTAATCTCGGCTCACTGCGACCTCTGCCTCCTGGGTTCAAACCATTCTCTTGCCTCAGCCTCCCAAGTAGCTGGGACTACAGGTGTGCGCCATCATGCCCCGCTAATTTTTGTATTTTTCTATTTAGGTTTCACCATGTTGGCCAAGATGGTCTCAATCTCCTGACCTCGTGATTCACCAGCCTCGGCCTCCCAAAGTGTTGGACCGGCCTGTCTCTTCTTTTTCTTTAAATAGCCTGCAGTCTGAATTCTTGCTTAGGAACAGTTCTCCGTGAGATCTCCAATAACCCAATTGTCAAATCATATAGACACTTTGGTTCACTTGATCTCATGCCTACTTTTCAAAACTCATTTGGTTTCCCATGTTTGCTTCCTGTCTAACCAACTTGTTTTTTCTTAATCTGCTTTCTGCCTATGGGGTTCTTTTCCTCATAGAATTGTTTTAATGATTAAATGAGTTAATATATTAAGGATTTGGAACTAGTGTCTGGCACATAGAAAACACTCATTAGATACTATTATGATTTCACTAACATAATTATTAGATAATCTCATCCGTGGCTATGGTTTTTACTACCAATATATTGTTAACAGCATAGACTTTTATGCTGTCTTTTTTTTTTTTAATGCTTCATGAAATTGCGTGTCATCCTTGCACAGGGCCTGTGCTAATCTCTGTATTGTTCCAGTATTAGGGTATGTGCTGCTGAAGCAGGCAGTACTAAGTCTCAGATGGGTTTATCTAATTGCCAGCAACCCATTACTCATGCTAGAGGCAACCTGGGGGTGATCGTAGATACTTTACCTCCTCTAATCATTAACCAAATTTCTACTCAAGGTACCTTCTAAGTATCTTCTTTTCCATCCTCCTTATCTGTCTTTGTCTCACCAAGCCTTCGTCTAATCTATTCTCCATGCTACCGGTTGAGAACTTTCTAAATGGGGCTTTCATCACTCACACCTTTGTGATTGCTTCAGATTCTTCCATGGCATCTCTTGCTGAAAAGATACGCCTAAGCATAACAATTAAAGGCCTTTGATCTGGGCTCTGCCTATCTCCCCAAACCTCATTCTCTTGCTACTCCTCTTTTAGACTTAGCTGGGCTATGGACATACGATAATATTTTTTTTCCAAATATTCTAGGCATTCATACTTGAGCCATCCATTTATGGCTTCTTTCTGGACAACTCATTCCTCCTTCACTACATTGGAGTTCAGTTTTATTTACTGAGATACAAGGTGACGGACTCAAAAGTGTCTGAAATAGGTATGGAAACCATTCAGGTTGAGGAGTTATCTACTGTTGAGTAAGCTCTGAATATAGAGGCTAGAAAGAGGAAAGTATATAAAACCAGGGTGAGGAAGAAGAAAATCAGCAGTGGGAGTCAAGGACTATTGATAAATAATAATAAACAGGACAGACAGGGTAACATTTCAAGATGTGGTCAAGTGCAGCAGGGAAGGCAAAGCAAATCAGGTGAAAGATAAAGCCACTGAGATTACACTGACAATGAGAGGGCAGTTTCAGTGAGGGGTGGTGATGAAGCCAGAAGGTAAGGGATGGGCACCTGGTACATTACTTAGTGGCCTGTGTGACACCTCATACACTCAGGAGTGTACATTTCTGATCACATTAACAAGTCATGTCTAATTACTAATTAGACAAACCAAAGACAAAATTTTGGCACTGGGGTTATTTATAAGGTCTTCTATCCTTTTATGAGGGTTACTGCAGGGCACTTTATATTTTTGAGAGGCAAGAATAACCCTTTAGTTTCACAGCTATCAAAGCAACTTTTCCCTTTATTGGAGCTTTCAACCGTTCGTAGTACTGCAAGTCTTCTGTGGTTGTGATTAATTTAGTCTTCAGCCCTTTTGTTATAATCACTGTCCCCCATAATTAAAACATATTCTGTAGGAACTGAGTACACTGTGATGCCAGCCCTGATGGAAGAATAAGATACTTTTCACCCTTTACAGTGGCACTGATTTGCCTCCTATCTGCATTATACCCACAAACTTTTGAAGCATGTGCAGCAGGGAGACTTACCTGAGCACCCATAACTATCTTTCTGAACACTGCAACTCAGTAGTAATGCTTTGGGTTCAAGACTAAAAAAACAATACATC